CACGTCGGACACAAGCTTGATAAGGTAACCGGGTACGATTCTAACTGAAATATTTTTTAATAAACTATTTTCTCTCTTTCTTTTCTCTTTTTCCCACTTTCTGTTCCTTTATATGTTATNTTTAAAAAAAAAAAAAAGCTTTAGTTGTAAAAATAATCAGTTATGTAATTTTGATAAGCTTCGAAAGATTTTTAGAGAATGAGGAAGAAAAAAAAACGAACTACTAAAAGAGCAAGTCGAGATCGTTCTTCTGGATCAGTTTCTATACCACCACACATATCATGTACATCTATGCCAAATGTTGATATTATTGTTGCTGAGAAATAAACAAAATTATTGATAAGAAAATTAAAAAAAAAAAAAAACAAAATTATCAATGTCCAATGACTTCTTACAGTAAATGTTAGTAGTTAGTATATGGGATAGTTTTATTTGTAAATCGGATATAGCTTGTATCAATTATTGATTGTCTCGTTTGTAATAATGTAATATCAAAGCATAATATTTTCATGCAAATCCCGAAATAATAAATTTTCAAAACTTTTAAAATTTCAAAAAGTTGTTAAAATTAAATTAAAAATAAAAAATCAAAAATTGAATAATTTTTTTTGAATAATTTTTGACAAATTTTTCTTAATACATACTGTTACATTGGCCATGTTCACCGCTAGGCATTTGTCCTGGTGGACAGGTACATTGTGGCTTTGGTACCAAACGTTGTGCTTCGGCGTATTCATAACGTGCGCATGCTATTTGATCTGGTGATGCCTTTGATGTGATACTAGTGATAGTATTAGCCAAGCTAGCCAAGCTACCTATAATTCTCAAAATTATTTATTTATAATTTGAAAAATAAGATTACTGATAACATTACATAATAAATTGTTTCCTTGAAAGAGAGAGAGAGAGAGAGAAAGAAAAAAAAAAAAACGCGACCATTCTCTGGTATATTGTTCTCCCGGTGTTCTTCCAATTGTGGATTTGGTGTAATTGGTGGCGGTATTGGCGGTTGTGAATCATTTCGTATTATTGCTATATTTTTGATATTATTTGATATCATACTTGTAGAAGAATTGAATGTATCATTTTGATTCCATGATTGATTTGATGATAATGATGATAATGAAATATCATTTGGTTTAATAATATTATTTTGTTTTAAGGTATTATTATATCCCAATCTATCACTACCATTATTGGTTTGGATAGCATTGGAAGATTTAATTGATGTATACCGGTTATCATTTAATTTTTCCTCATTATGTGAATTTGCTGGATTTGTTGATGCTGTTGATGAATTTTCGAATTTTCCAGAAATTTGTTTCATTGAATTATCATTAGGATAATTAATGAATGATGGTTGTACCATTTTAATAGCAGGATTAGCAGTAAAAAAATCAGCTGTAATCGATTTTACAGTAATCGGATAAAACTGATATGTTGTTGTTGTTGTTGTTGTTCCTGTTCTTGTTATTGCATTTGATTTATTATCAGCATGATCATGCCCTGCATGATTACTGTCAACTCGTGTGATGAAATTCTGAAAAGTATTGAAAGAGTGCTGTTGTCCAGTATTATTTGGAATAATATTTTGAGAATTTTGCTGCACCTGATGATTTACATGTATGGAATCGTTGACAATTTCTGCTTTATTGATGAATTCAGCTACCGTAGTATATCGTAGGTTATCAAAATCCGAAGATTTGAAATTATGATCATTCATGTTAGTATTTGGTATTTGAAATACAAATTGTTTGGTTGTCGATTGAGTGGTTGCATTATTCCAGTTTTTTGTAATATTTGAAATTGAACCACGATCAATATCATCTGTTAAAGCAAGATGTGATGGTGATGATGAAATTGACTGATGCGAAGATGTGACATATCTTTTGGTGCTAATCATATCATTCATGTCAACCGATGTATTGCATCCAAATTGTATGCTTTGATATAAATTAGATGCACGTTTAATACCAAATACAGCGATATAAGCAAGATCTAAAAATTAAATATCATTGTAACAATTTAGACATAATCCTCTTAGATTGGATTTGGTATTTTTTTTTTTTTTTAGATAAAATATCCATCATTAGTTGATCATTGCTCTTATGATATGATATGATATGCTCTTATGATATGATCAACATGAGAGTATTTAATAAATTTGTGATAAAAATAAAAAAATGACCTTGATCAGATTTATCGATGCAATTACTTTGGCCATTTTCAATCCATTTTCTCATAACACATTCACCATAACCTTTACAAGGCACTGTTCCCTCAATTGAACATAATTTTTTCTACTAAAAAAAAAAAAAATGAAAAATTTTAAACTTTACTTTGAAATATCAGCAAAACCTTCCGGATGATCATTGAGCATAAATGTTATCATATGTTAAATTTTAGTTGTATTAAATTCGAATTACGCATTTATCGGCTTACAATATCTCATAAGTCTATTTTTACAAATTTGATCTCAAATGCCATTAGCTCATTAGCTCAAAAGTCGACGTCATTTTTACTCCATACAAATAACTTTCTAGTCTATTTTTATTATCAATACATATATCATTGCACAGAAATTACTTATCACAAAATGTGTTACATCAATTTTAAACAATAATCACTTGTATTTCAATTCAGTTCAATTCAGGATTGAAAAACCGGACAAAATTTTCCGGTCAGCTAAAATTTTTTGATGAATCCATTTTATTATTATTATTATTATTGTTGTTGTTATTAAAATTAAAATTAAAGATACTTACTGATGATATCACAAAATTGTGGTGATGTTGGTGAATTATCGCATCCTGAAAGAAGCATGAAAATTATTGACTAAAAAAAAAATTTACAGTTTTTTTTATTCGTTTTTTTTTTTTTTGTTTTGTCGTACTTAATTAAAATAAATAACAACTAGGATTAATAAAGCATTGCATTGCATACTGTATTGATACGCAATACACACCACATTTGATATAACCAGGAAAGCAAACTGAAAAAAAAAAAAAAA